TTTTTAATTTTGTAAATGAACTTATTTACAAATATAACCCAAAAATAAGAAACCGTCATATTAAAACATTTTACGCTATGGTGAAAAATAACCATATTTATACATTAAACCACGATTTAAGCAAAATACAACAAAAACAAGTAATATCAAAACTACCCACTATAAAGGCACACACTGATTATTATATAAATGAAAGAGAGGAACCACCGCAATACAAAATGATTAAATGTATAGATGATATACTCAAAATAAAAACTGATGATAAAACAAGGGAAGTATATTTAGTACCCGAAGATAATGATTTGGCAGAAATATTTTTCCAGTTGATAAATATTGGATATGAACCCAGAATTAAATACACAGGTATTATTGATGAAATTAGAGTCAAATTTAACAAGATAACATATATCATAAAGACTCAAAATTTAATTAAATCATCCAGCGATGGTTGGATCGCAGCAAATAATGAAACTATGTACAACAATATGAATAAAGCAATGATTAATTTTAATAAATCTTTATTTATTTTATCTCACAAATCCTTTTATAATGACATTGATATAAAGATATTAAACGAAACAAGGACTGTAGCACCTTCGGGATTATTATGGGATAATTTTAATTTAATGCGTAAAACTGAAATCGATGAAAATAAGGCATTTACAAAGGGGTTCATAGATATTACTGAAATACCAGTTTTTAATCAGTTTGACAATTGGAAAGAATACAATGATGCAATTAATATTGATGAACTCCACGATCTAACATTATATTATATTGAAGTTAACTATCCGAATATACCAAATAAATACAGTATGGAACGTATTAAACGTAAACATCTTTTGGAGGAAAGTTTAAAATTTAAATCAAAAGAAGAAGTTGAATTCATAATGACAAAAACGTTACTGGGGAATAAAGAGGGCTTAATGTTTAATAAAAAAATATAATTTAGTTTATTTTAAGTTTTTAAAAAAGTTTATTAATCAATATAATATTAAAGTATTATATTATAAACAACCTTCGTTTATTCATAAAACAAACTATAAGGATATGGTTAATGAACTTTGGAAAACTACTATAGATGAATGATGATGATGATGATGATATACTAAGTAAAAAATTAATAGCAAATGTCAATTTTGGATTATTAGAGAAGGGAGAGGCTACCGCGCATCAAAGCATTTTGTTTAAGAGTATTGATGAAGCAATCCATTATCAAACAGAATACGGAGGCAAAATTCATAAGTTATCACAGATAGAAGGCAAAATTCATAGGTTATCACGTATAGGTACAGAAGACGAAGAGCGCGAGGATGAGTATGAAGAGTATACACGTGAACTAGATGAAAGAAATATAAAAGCATCATATTATATATTAAAATTAAGGGATAAAGCAGTATTAAGAAAACGCTATAGATATATTAATGAACTACTCATGCAACATCATAATTTTAAAATGAACCAAGACATTCACAAATTAATAATCAACGATATTAATGTATATAGTGTGAAAACCGATGCTTTTGTAATTGATTCATACAATGTAGAGAAAGCAAAGCAATTATTAGAACTTCATAATGATATAGGAGGTTGGAAAGTTTCTGGGCGAGACAATGAAATTAATCTTCCTACTGTAAAATATGAAGTTGTTAAGAATGATCTAATAAAAATACCAGTTCATGAAAGTAAAACTATTGATATTAAAGATGAATACGACACTGATAACATTATAGAGATTGTTAAACAGAATAACCCTATTATGATCAGGGGCGAACTACCGGGCACAGGAAAATCATATATATGTCAAAAAATGGTTGATAAAAAATATAAGGTAATATTTATTTGTCCTACTAATAAATTATTACAGGCATTCGAAGGTGAAGCAATGACTATAAATAAGTTTTTTGGAATAAACTACGGCGATGCAAAATTAGAACCATTTGATTTTACAGAATTTGATGTAATCGTATTTGATGAAATTTATTTCAGTAATTTAAATATATATTGGAGAATAAAACAATTTGTAGAGCAGAATAAACACAACAAAATTATAATAGCAACGGGAGACACCAAGCAATTAAAACCAGTTCAAGAGATAACAAATACTCGAGACTATGAATTATATACTGATAATATTATAGATAACATTTTTGAATATAATATTTTGTTAAAAGAATGTAAGAGACTTAACACACAGGAAGATAAGGATAAACTAAGAAATATTAAATTTGATATTTTTGAAAATAAATTACCTATTATGAAAGTTATTGAAAAATATTTCGAATATACAACTGACATAAGCAATTCTAACAACAACATAGCATTTTTAAATACAACTTGTAAAAATGTCTCAAATGAAATTAGAAAATTAGAAAATAGAAAAGATGAATACGAAGTAGGCGAATTTTTAACATGTAGGGAATATACTAAAACTAAAACATCAGTGTTTAATGTAAATTTCAAATATAAAATAGTTCATATCGGAAGCGATGGAATATTTACATTAAAGAATATCAAAACCGAAATTTTACAATCCGTAGAAGTTGCTAAAATAAGAAGCAATTTTATATTTGCATATTGCTCAACTTGTCATTCTGCCCAAGGCAGTAGCATTGATGATACCATAACAATTTTTGATTATAACCATTTTTTGGTAAAGAATTATCCAGAATGGATATGGACTGCAATTACAAGGTGTAGAGATTTAAACAAAGTTAAATTTTATAAATATACAAAAGATATTGATGATGTATTTAATCAAAAATGTATTATGAGTTATTTTGAAAGGAAAATATTAAATTACAAAGAACAGGACAGGAAAGCAAAAAGAACCATATCTAAAGAAGGTTATGTAAATACACAGTGGTTTTTAGACAATATAAATAATCAATGCAATTACTGCGGATGCGGTTTTTCTATGGATATGAAAAATGGAAATATAATGACAAATCTAACAGCGCAACGTAAATCAAACGAGTTATCGCACGAACTGAATAATATTATTCCTTACTGTGTTAGGTGCAATTGTAGTTGTAAATGATAATAATTTAAATAATAATTTAATATTTCTTGTAAAAAGTATTTAAAGAAATAAAAACTATATATATTATAATAGAAATGGTTGAAACCGAAATCAATAATTATATCAATAAGAAATGCTACGACTGTTGCCACTTCAAAAAAGAAAATATGGAATTATACAAAATTAATTTACCTAATGGAATAGTGAATAATATTATTGATTATTCTTTGGATGAAAAAGGCGAATGTGAAAATTGTCAGGAATGGAGAGATAATCAAGCTATAATCAATTGTTTGTTGAGAAAAAAAGAAGAAATAATAGAAATGTTGAAGATGCCATTTTGATATTTTTAACTGTGTATAAAATACCACATTATAGTTATGTTAGAATATTTCTGAAAATCAGTAAGAAAAAATATGAAATGATTAAAGGTATATTGTGGATGTTGACTTGTCATTTTAGGGAAGGGTTTGATGTAAAAGAAGACATTAAAACATATATTGAAGGAAAAAAGCTTAATGTGAAAAATACAGTGAGAGATATTAATATTATTTTAAAAATAATGCATGAAAGAAGTAAAATATATATACAACTTAGTAGTCATCAATTAAATTATTATCCTGAACTTAAGTTATAAAATTATATCTACCTAACCTTGCCCATAATATTTCTACAAAATTTAGGAAAAAAAAATGTAAGATAATTTATCATAATTTTTGGAATAATATTTTTGAAAATTTATTTTTTGAAGATTTATTTTTTGGAAAATTACTTTTTTTTGAACATATTATTTTTTGAAAATATTATTTTTTTTGAAGATATTTTTTTAAACAATATTATTTTTGATTTTTTTTTTTTTTTAATGAGCTTAGCCTTGCCCATGCATCCTACCATCAATAACCATATCATATGAACCACCCTATACTTCTATTTCCCCACAAGCATCCTAACAATGACAAGAATGATGGAATAGAAAATGAGAAAATGTGACTTTTTTGATGGATTTTGAGGTTGAGACTGTTATGAAATGTTTTGAGTGGAAATATGCATAATGAATAAGGATGACGATTTGAATAATAAAAAAATGGTTGAAAAATGCTGTCCTTGCGTAGGGTGGGGGTCACGCTCGGGTACCAAAAAAAGATGGGCAAGGCCCACCCTAACTCTTACCCCTTAAAACTCCAAGCCCTGGGGAAGTTAATCTTTTACAGACATATAGCCCATGTTACCCCCAAAAAGTTGAAAAGTTGTGTTTTTAAGAGGTAAGTCTTGGTTGAGGCGCATAGTACCTTGTTGGGCTCGGCACACCAAAACCAAAGAATCGCCTATTGGCAAAGAACTGGCACGCTCAGCAACTCCGAATCAATCCACTGTCGGCTCCCCGAGCGGAAATACGGCCGCCTTGAAAAAGACAAAAGCAAACCTCATGTTCACCGGAGATTTGTCCAACTCCGGGAAAAGAAGTGTGCAGTGGTCACTGTGCTGGAGATCTTCCCAAAACCCTAGATGTTTAAAAACAACCCAAAATCTTATGGAAACTTTGTCCAGATCGATTCCACCGGCTGAAAAGGAACCACACCGCCGGTGACTCTGGGCGCTGATTCCTGGCCCCTTCCTTTCAGCCGTCGCTCTTTTATCAACAACCGGATCCGTTTCCCCGGGTGGTTTCCGGATCCCTGGAAAGAATTGGAAGTGGAAGGTACCCCTGGAGTCATGGTAAGACTGGACTGTGGTTCATTTGACGGTTGCACCCGGGGTCACATTCGCGTGGTTGGTACAAGCAAAGCTTCCGTCAGGAAGGTACCCCTAGAGTGACAATGGAAATTGAAGGTGCCCCTAGAGAAATGGTTTTTAACTTTTGGTGGGTTTAATGGAGAGCCCACTAGTTGGCAAAAAGTTCAAGTCACCAAAGTGACGTTTCCTTCCAACCCAAAAACTGCCATTCCAACCCGACTCGGATTGGACTCGGATCTCCGGCAGGCGCTTCAGCTGCTGAACCAAGACCAGGGAGCTATTGGAGTCCTGACGTGGACAACCCCCACCCACAGCGAAATGCGAGTGGGGATGTCTGTTGTTTGTTTTTTTTTCCTAGAAAAGAATGTGTGCAATTTGATGCAACTTGATGTTGCTTTTATTGAGTTGCTTGTTTATTTGGTCTCTTTTGTGTTTTTTTGTTCTAGTTGTTTGTTCGGGGGAGGGGGGTGACGGTGCCCTCTGGGGGTGAAATGGAAAGGTTTTGGTTGAAGTTGTTGATGTGCGGGTGTTGATTCCCTTTTTTGGGCTTGTGCTCAAGGGAATCAAGCCCGAATCACCAATTTTGGCGACCGCCGCGGCCGAAGTGGCCCCTGCCACGCTGCCGCTGAGACTGTCCCCTGCGACCCCTTGGCAGCTTTGCGCAGTTGCAGATGTGCCAAAGAGGGTGTTCTCTTTAGGAATCGGACCCCCCGGAATGGTGGGGGTCAAGACCACAGGAAAAGGGTGCCCTCAAAAAAGAGGCTCCTTGCATAGGTGTCCTTTTTGTCGAAAATAGATGGGTGTCCCTGGTTGATTGAACCACCAGGCAAACCAGGAATCGCCCTCTTATTTTTTAAGCGAAACCAGCCAAAAAGGACACCTATGGCTCCTTGGTTCTCTAACTGGACACTCGAGCTTTCCGAACCCGTTGGCTCGAGGAAACTGGTGGCGCTCGAAACCCGGGCCAAGACTTGGGAAAGTGACCGTGACCCTACCCCCGTCTCAATCTCCCTGTAGAACCCCCCAATCACCCCAGGAAACTGGATGTGTTTGTCAAAATGAAACCGCCAGGAATCGGACAGGACAAATTTTAGCCCGGGTGTCCATTTACCGATCGGGTGAAGCAACCCATGTTGGGGTTCCCCGATTTTTTCGACAACCACAGCCAGCTAGTCCAACAAGTGTCACAATCAAAACCCGGTATTAAAATGGTCTACCCAGAACCATGCTTCAAGAATTAAGAAGGCGGATATCCGCAACTATTTCCGGCAAGGGGACTGGCCCTTACTAAGCTTCTATCCCCCGAATCGGTTTTGAGGACGTGGCTCAAGTGACCATGAAACTCTACACCACAAAATGCAAAAATGTAATACGTTTCCCAACAACCACCATGGATAAAACTGGCAAAATCCAGGGACCGGAGCCCAAGAGTCGAACATCCGGTCCAGACCGGAGGTCGGCTCGTCCAGGAACTGGCGAGAGCGGCGGATCGGCCCGGAGGGAAAAACCGAGGGAGCGACCGGTTGGGCAAGACCTGTGACCCCGTACGGTTGTTTTGCCGTGCTTCGCAATTTTGAAGGAAAATCAGAAGGATAACCACCAACTTGGGGGGTCCGATTCCTAACAAAGACACACACCCATACCCACAAAGATCCTCTCTGAAAAAAGGGATGGCACCCAAGCTGGTTGGTTCTTGAAAACCCACCGCAGGTCTGGGTGTTCAGCAAATGAGAAAAATAATTCCGAAGAAAAACCATGGCATCAAATGTGGCAAGGTCGCAAACCTTGAAGACTTTCGGAGGCCAATGGGTCAGCTGCGAATCCGCTTCTTCGCTCAAGCGGTTTGCAAAATGTGCGAGGCATCCCAAGCTTGTGGCGACGTATGGTGTCAACCAAGCTGACCTTGAGCGGTGAGGAGAAACATACTATACACATGTCAGTGTGGCTCAAAACTAAAGACCTAGGGTTACGCAGGTTTCATTTGCCATGGTGCCATTTTGGTACGTTTACTTGAGCCACACCCATATACCTCGCTTGCATGCCTTCGTTTTGAGCGGACCCCCCCCCAGAACCATTTCCGCGCCAGGATGGTCGGGCACGCTGCGATCTCCAGGCCAATGTTCACGCGCTTGCGCCTAATCCCCGCGACATGCTGGTTCCCCCCCGAAAACGAAATGGGTGTGTCTTACAAGCGGGGCCCCCAAAATGGGATTTCCTTTGGCCTCCCTTTAAACCAACCCAAAACAGGGTACCCTGCAAAACAGGACTTTTTCTGGAAGCTGCCCCAAACCACCGCAGAGCTTGTTTGGGCCGAGATCAACCAGACCCATTGCTTTCAGCGAGACTGTCAAGGAAAAAAACAACACAAGATAAAACATACAGGGGTCTGGGTTGGGGGGTAGCCATTTTGGGAGGAAACAAAAAACAACGGCACCACTCGATCTAAGCGTCAGCTTTCGCGCCAATCTCCAGGTGCCCCGGCTGGCCCCCACTCAAGCCCTCGCCGGTGGTGACCCGGTTCCCCACCTCAAATCCGCGAGAGGGCGAAAACCGCCCCCCCCCGCCGGTTCTTCTTGTAGAGGGTTTGTTGGACCCCCCTTCACCACCAAGCCACCAAGCCACCGAGCCACCAAACCACCAAACCAAGTAGAGGGGAGCTGATGCCCTGCACCAAACCCCCAATCCAAACCACCGAGCTTCCAACCACCGGGCTTAAGGCTAACCCTGAGAACATATGTTGCGGTGGCCGAAAACAAAAAACCAGTTGGGGAAGTTGTGAATGGCACCCCCGGAAAAAAACGAAAAGAGGAGGGGAAAAAAAAGCTGCGCGACGAAAACAAATCTCGCCACTTGGGCCTTGGCTCTCCGAACTTCTGTGGCGTTCAAAGCAACCGGAACCCCGGCTTCGTGGTCTTCTGGTTCGGGAACCAGAAGATGCACAAAAGCGCCAAGGTGTCAAAAGCCAAAACCTCTCCAAGTGGTCGGCCTCAATCCGCCTGGTTGATCACTCGGCATTTTTACATGGCCATGAAACTGATATCTTTGACCCCCTCCAAGGAGACATGTAAGGACTGGCAGCCCTTCCACGCAGAAGGCCGTCCATGTTTCAGGGGAGCCATCTTGTGGCTGGCTGGTCTTTTTTGCAGGTGGTCCCCTTTCTTGGTGGTTTAAAGGAAAGCCAACAGGAAACAGCTACCACTTTGAGGAGTCCCCCCCCAAAAAAAAAGACACGCCAAAATTTCCACCCATGCAATCCTGGGATGCAAATGATTTTCTTATCCAACACGGTTCAGCTCTTCCGCTCCGGTAGCAAACGCAGACCCGTTTCAAACACCCACCCCCGGCGCCCGAGATTTCACCCCCTCAGCTTTCCGACGATCATGTTCTGCTTGGACTCGAGCTGCAGCACCTGACACACCGCTGGGCTGTCAGTGTTTTCAGATCCCCTGCTACAGTAACAGTGAAAACCTGGGCTGTCAGTGTTTTCAGATCCCCTGCTACAAAACCAACAAAAAACCATTTGGAAACCTTTCAGTGGGTCCAAGATTTGGAAACTGCCACCAAACCAAAAAAAAGAAAAAAGCGGCAGCTCGAAGGAACCGGATCGGGCCAAGGTACGACAAGAACCAAACAGTCCGGGCGTCGGGTGTTGGGCATAGCGGGAAATACCCAGGACCTTACCCCGCACAGGGAGAAATACCTTGGCTTTGCCGAAGTTCTAGAAGAACTTCCTGTAAAAAGGACCTCAACTTCACAACCCTTGGTATGGGCTTAGAAAGAAACATGGTTTTCTGCAGCCCCCTACTAAAATTGAACAGAACCAAACAAGACTTGCTCCAAGAATCGCGAAGCTCACCTCAACGGTCGGAGCCAACGCCCATCAAAAACGTGGACCTTGTGGGGTCACAAATAGAAATGGCACAAAGCGAAGCCAGCTATGTCTAGCCAAACTAAGCCATCGGAAGAACCACCAACAGCCTTCGAAAAACGAAGGCGCAACTGAGCACAGCAAGCTCCCCTGACACAGCTGGGGGCCTCCAACCTCAAGAGCTGTTTTTTTTTGTGATTCTTTTTCTGGGTCTGTTGAAGTGACATCCAGACAAAATGACAAGTCATCTCGAGAAGCCCTCAACATGTTGCTTGTGAGCACTTTCAGGTTAATATTGACAAGGTAGCTCTAGAAAGGACAACGTAAGGCCTTTCTGCCGTTCTGTCACGTAGATCCGGGTTCGTGATGTTTTCTCTGCCTTTTCTCGAGCCGGCCAAGGGGGCGGTTTGCAACAAGCCAATGGCCTGCATCACGTCGTCCGTGATCTTCCGGATCCTGGCAGAGCATTCACCATGACCGTGACATGTGGCCAATTCAGGAAAACGAAGACTCAGCGCCATCTTGGATCTGATCCCCTCAGGATTCCTTGCTTTGGGCTTCGTAGGTTTTAGTCTTTGTGCCCATATATAGCCAGGCGGGGTTTTGGGGATTCCGTGTTTTGAGCCACAGCCACGTCCCATTGAGGGGATGGCCAACTCCAAAGCAAAGCATTCCCACGCCCCTTTTTCAGGGTATCATGTCAAGCCTGTACTCAAAAGGAGGCATCTACCCCGCAGCCAAAAAAATAAGCTCAGGTGATATCCCCAACAGCATGCGGCACCCCGCAGCCCTCGCAGAACCTCGTGGAACCCTCGTGGAACCCTCGTGGAACCTGGTGGAACCTGGTGGAACCTGGTGGAACCTGGCGGAAACCTGGTGGAACCCTCGTGGAACCTTACCTCAGGGCCGCCCGGACCACCCCGGCGCCTATCTGGGCTGAGACCCCAAAGCTGTCAGCTGTTGGGGAAAAAGCTTCTTCTAAGACTCTGCCCTTTTCAACGACATGGCCTTTAAAGCTTTTTTCGGGGGCCCCGCCCCCACATGTTCTTCGGCTCAGTTGGCGCTCGGCTTCGCGGCCCGCGGCGCCTGTGCTCCTTGGTGCCCGCGGGCATCCGCTTCATCGCGGAGAAGGTGATGTTCTCCCGGACCGTCAGCCTTCGGAAGAGCTTGCCCCCCCTCCCAACTCTGGGGCCGGAGGGTGGGGGGTTCCGAACTCCAGTCCTGGCAAATCTGGGGATCCCAGGAACGAGTCCATCGATGTGGTCTTTTCTTGAAGGGCAATGGAAGCGTAGATGGAGATGTCCGGGGGTTGAAATCCCCCCTACCCCCAATTCCATGCATTTGGGGGTGGGATATCGGAAACGTTTGTTGCCTTGTTCAAAATGTTTTCCCAGCTTCCACTTGCCAGTGGCGCCGCCTGGAAAAAATGAGAGAGCGTGTGTCCAGTCGTGGAATCGAATCCCTTTAAGACCAACGAGGGGCAAAAACATACTCTTAAGCAAATGCAAGCCAGGGCACGGGAAAACGGTGACGGGTTGCGTTCGAAACTTGGCTCGTATCCAATGGGGATGGATTTGTTTCATTCAGACCCTGACAGAAAGAGTTGCTAAAACAAAAACAAAACAAAAAAACGTCCAGCCACTTGAGTGACCATTGCTGGTGGGGATGAATACCTACCCTTCCCTTTTGGGAAACAAAGGTCCCTTGAGCCACGGAAGACTTCAAACGAGCTGCTCCTAAGTTCCAAAAAATGCGCTAGTACCGGCTCATGGGGGGGGGGGGCCCTCCAATGGTGGTCTGAATCCCCACCAAAAAGCCCCCCCCCCCAAATCATCAACCAGAGTTTATGAATGCGGTCCCATTCGTTGAGCTGCTGATGCGCATATGCTCTAACTTGCGGAGCCGCTGTTTTTTTTGCAAAGTGACCACCAAACCGGAGCTTTCTGCGAAGGTTGCAGGGAAGTCCGAATTTCAGTCGGTGGGGGAAATGCCAACCCTAAAATCGACTGTCTCCTTTTACTTCCCCTCCAACGAGGGTCCACCACTTTAAGAACCCCCCCCTTTGAAGTGAAGTCTACAAAAGCTTAGTCGGCGAAGCGTGACTTCCAAGATTCCAAAAATGATTTATAATCAGAGGACAAGGATATGATTGTAAATGACATTTCATTAGTAATAAAATATATATTTGACATGATAATAATAGATTTATAATTATATTTCTTATTGATTGTTCATTTGTCTGTCTTGTTCCATCTCTTTATTATCTTTGTCTTTTTAATATGTCTATCTTATCCTTTCTGCAATAGCAAATTCTTGGAAACCTTGTAAACTTTTCTTTTATTATTACTTTTCTCTTTCTGCAGTGTTTGAATTTTAGTAATGACATCTATTCCTTATCTAATTCTCTTTCTCTTTGTCTCAGCGCCCAGCTATTCCGGTCACCAAAGGGCAAGGCCCTTTGGACGGGCCGCTTAGATCTCTCCAGCCGAGTGCTTCTCGCTCTCTCCCCATCCCCTTGGCTTGGATGGCCTTGCCCAGTTGGCCAATAGGGCCAAGAGGTTCAACCAAAGATCCCAACCCAACAAACCTGCAGAACCACTGCCACAGAACCGTTGCCGGAAACTGAGCGCCGGCACCCTTCGTGAACCGTGTCATCCTGCGCGGAGACACGGAATTGAGCCAATCCACCTCCGCGCCCCAAATGGAAGTGGGAGATATCCAAGCAACCAATGGGATATTCAAGGCCAGGGTATTTCTGTCCAAGGGAGTGGGACCCCCAAAAAAATGTTCTGCACACTTGGGGCGGGGTTCTAACAGACCCAATAGAAGGTTTGGGGCCGGCACCCACGTGCTTGCGGTACTGTGTTTGGCTTCGAGGGAAGGGATACATTTGCGGACGAAATCTACCCCCAAACCACTGCCCCCCCAAACCACGACCCCAAAAACCACTGAACCCCAAACCACAGGGCTTAACTGCATATGCAGCCGCTGAGCGAGCGCCACTTTTTCCCCGGGTGTTGCCCCTCCCCCGATTTCTGCCGGGCCAGCTTCGGGTGCACGGGCTGCAACGTGCCTGTCCTGGGGGACAAAGCCGATGACCGGCTTCAGGTACTCTATGCTCTGCTTCTCCCCGTTGATGAGCAAGTCGCCTCGAAAAAAAAAAATGCCCGCCGGGGCTTCAGCCGACCGACCAGCCGAACCCGACGAGTAGGTGACTGGTTGGGAAATACATCCAGCTTCGCCGAAAACTGGCAGAGTCTGACCCAATCCGAGCCAGAGATCCAACCAAATAGCAGCCATACGACCCGAACGGCTCCCCCTCTCCAGGGCCACGGCCAGTGACCGTCCACTTGGAGTCGGTGTGTTTCTGAGCCGCGAATCGGAGAAAATCCACTCGAAGGCGTTTCTATGGGTGTATCGTTTGGGGCAGCTTTCAGCGAGGGTTCCGGAAGGTTGCATTGGGGTTCGGGGCTGTTCGGGATACCACCTTGTCTTGTGAGGATACCTTAGGGGGGGGTCTTACAGGAAGTTCGCACTAAACCACAAATTAAGCTGGTAAACAGCAGAAGAGACTAGAGTTCACCTCTCAATCGAAGGGCAGCACATTTTGGCTTCCCCCGCCGCACAAAAAACTGAAACAGGGAAAGCAACAGGAAACCGGCCACGGGGTCCATCTCTTGAGAGGGAACGAGTTCCCTCACACAACAAGCCAGAGCAAGCGCCCGTGAAAACAAGACGATGGGACTCCGTCTCGCCGATACATCCGACCGGGCGCTGAAGAGAACCGTGAGACTCAAACAAATTCGCAGCGCTCTTTCGGCATCCGGAAAACTCGGAGAAGTCCAATATCCCCCCCCATTTTTCGGGGCTGGCGTCATGACGGATCCACTCAGCGGCACCTTGCCCGTCAGCACGTCGATGAAGGTGGTCTTTCCACTCCCCGAGGGGCCTGGTTTGGGGGTTGCGGGGGGCTGAGGCGAAGTCTCCTTTGGTTTCTAGGCCCAAAGAACAGATTGGGGGTCGGGGTCGAACACTGCAAGCCCCCGGATGCCAGACAAGCATCTCCTTTGCCTCCCTTTCAACGCCAACTTCTTTGAAAACAAATCCCTCACTTTTGCTGCACACCTTCCCACGCCATCAAAGCACCCAAAAGTCCCAAAAGGAAAAACAACCCAGGGTTCCATTCTGTGACCCCAAGGCAGGCTAAAGAAAACCTGCAAGTGTTTCTTTGTGAAATTCTATCGCAAAAACGGGGCAGCTTCGCTTCTCCGGATCGGACCTGCATTGCTAATGGAAAAAAAAACAGCAATTGTGGCTTGTTTCAAGTTGCTTGGGGCAGGGGAACCAAGAGCAATATCCAAGGGAAGTCAACTCCTTGGGAAACCGTGGCCCCTTTTCCTTCAAGCGCGAGTCTCAGAAAAGCCTGTGTAACCGTCTATGACATCCGCCCACCAAAGAACCGTTCCCCTCAGGTAAAGGATCTTTACCACGGTGAGCTCGCTTGACTCCCGATCGGTGAGCTCGCTATAACATAGGCAGAACCATGGCTCCCGAAGAAAGAACACCCCGTAAGCAGTTGAAAGCCCTCATGAACTCACAAAACACGGGACCACCGCAACAACCACCCCCCCTCTGTCTGCAAGTCAGCTCCGGTCGGAGCATTGAAAAGATATGGCTCTTCAGCCTCCGAGAATTACTTTTCCCCAATGGGAACTCATACCAACATGAGACTTCCCGAGAGATGCTGAAAACCCAGCCCTATGATTGTTTTACATATGCGTATATATATATAGTAGAGAGAGAAAAACAAAACTTGAGATACTCCACCAAAAAAACTATATCCCAAACTGAGACTTCCCCGAAAACTCCCAGTTTCCGGGTGCCCGCGCCCATGATGGCAGAGAGGTGGCCCGCCAAGAAGGAGCCGCTGAGGTCGTCCAGCACCACCGCCATGCCAGAGTCCTCGGCTGAGCTGAGCCGTGGCGGTCACTTTGGCCGGGGGAAAAGCTTAAAATATGTATATATGTATTTAAAAAAAAAAAAAAACAAAAAAAAAACTGTGTCAATATATTGAAACATGAATAACTGCTATACTTAAAATATGAATAACGTTTAGCTAATATATCTATAAGAAAAAGAAAAGAAAAACAAAAGGAGGGAAGAAGAAAACCAAAAGAACTTACCTCCGATCGAGTGGATTGAACCCAAAGAAAAGGTGCGGAGGAACTGTTCGAAGGGTCCCCACTGACATGCTCCAACCCCAAAAGGTTTGAAGCCCGAAGTCCGAAATGGAACTCAGGGAGTAGCGAGAAAAGGGCAGAACCAAAAGCAGATTCCCCAGGCTTTGAGCAAAAGGGAAAAAGCCAAAAGCAGACTCCGGAGCCGATGAGCTTTTGGGGCTCAGAGTCACAGGAAAAAATGCCCGCAACATGCGCGCAAGATAAGGCCAACCCAGTTAGATTCGGCCCGAGTCGATCCCGAATTCACACTCGATGACTCGCCGCGGAACATCGAGATCGGTATATTTGATCTCAGGCCCGTAAAGTCCGAAATGCCCAACTCCCCTCCCCTCCCCTCCCCTCCCCTCCCCTCCCCTCCCCCCTCCCCTCCCCTCCCCCTTCCCCCCCCTCCCACCCCCGCCACGCCCCTCTCCCCTCTACCCCTCGTCAACAGCTTCCATGTCCACACAAACTTCAACGGCTCGGCCGAGGCCCCCAAGTTCTTCCGAAGGCGCTCACCGCGCACAGGAAATCATCAAAAAGCTGGATGTGGAAACCTCTGATACAATCGAATAAATGGAAAAACAAAATATGTGAAGTCCACCAAAGACTCCATTAAGCTTGGAACCTCCAAATATATATATATATATACCTATATATAAATATATATACATATACATGTGGTTAAATAAATCAAAATCAAACTGGCCTAAGGCTCCTGATTACTCTTGGGCCCTCAACATGGGCTGCTTTTGAGGGCCCTTGGAGAGTGCGGAGGCCTGCATTGTAGGGGCCATGAGCCTCAGGGTAAATGAGTCCATTTCAAGCTCAGAATCACACCCACTGGGCTTGAAACCTCCAAATACACAAATATATATATATATATATATGCTATATATATATATATGTGTGTCTTCTTTCCCAGCAGAAACCGAGAGGAAACTGCCATTCTATCTCCTTTGTTGTTCTTTTTTTTTGGGGGGGGGTTGTATTGAGGTGGATGATCTAAGAACCACCGGAAAAATACAAAATGTGCCCCCAACATAACTTTTAAGAGTAGACACTGAGACATCGGCAACCCCCCCCCCAAACAAAAAAATAAATAATATATATATATATATATGTATATATATATATGTATCAAACAAACAAAAACTGCGAATTCCTCTCGGCCCAACTGCCCAAGAAAAGTGGCCCAACTGCGCCAAATTTGCGGTCGGTGCGAGAGAGGCAGGGAATGAGAAGTGGAATGACCCCGACAAAAACCATCCAACTGGCGGATCCTTTAAGGGAATTCCTGGGTTCATTCCCTCACTGTTTTACTGAGCACCGGCAGGAAAAGGACTCTTTGGTGGACATCATGTTATTCTGTTTTTGAGGGGGGGCATCTCGGTCTTTCCCGGCTTCTGCCAAAGAAAGGTGGCCCAACTGCAGAAGGGTGGTGCCTGGATCGCCAGTTCGGTTGTTGTTCCATGCACTTTACCCCCAAAAACCAGCAACAGTGGCTGAAGAAAGCAGCAACTTGGCTATCGAGGGTGCTGCTTCTCTAATTTGCTGCAACCGATCTGCGGACTTCACGGTGCACTTGATGTCCCGGAACTCCAAGGTGGCCGTTTGGAGCTTCCGAGTGATGCCTCCGGCGCTTCGGATCTGCTTGGGGGGGGGGCTGAAGGATGCCGCTTCGTCCATGGGAAGGATGAGACGCCTAAGCGCCTCAACAATCCCTCCAAGTCGTCCAAACCCTTGGAATGGGCTTGCAAAAAAAAAAATGGTTGCTTGCAGCCCCCACTCTAAAAGTGAACAGAACCAAAAAACAAATGGCCAAGAACTGCGAAGGAGTGATTTGGCTTGGTTCGGAGGTCCGTGCCCCATTTATCCAAGAACAAATCCAAATCCGAAGCAAGACCATGACGCGTGACCTATGCCAGGGATCGATCCCCCGGAAGATCCGGAAGACGAGCGGCTTACACATGTTCTAAAGGGGTTGATCCACTGGACACTGATTTTTTTTCAGAGAGGACCCGTTCTGAGGGGAAAAGGGTTGGAGAATCCAGAAGACCAACTAGGAGGGGTCGGAGTGCTGTGTTTGGTGCATACTCAACTTCGAATTTGCCAGACACGATGACCAGTTGCTGGTCAAGCTGAAAGGGAGCAAGGTCGTAAAAAAACCTCCGACGATACCAATCTTCTGCTTGAGAAGCTGCCTGTGCTCATATTGGGTATGGTCATGTCCGAAAGAAACGATCCTTGGATTGATCCTCCAAAGCCTTTGGCCCTCCAACACAAAGCTCTGGGCATTTCTTCCCCTTAGAAACGTCGAACGCCTTTAGGTCCAACATGGCGCCTCTTCTTGGGGCGACTCCGCGCAGATGTTCACCGCCCTTCCAAACTGCGAAGACCGCCCGCATCCCCAAAGCCATGTCCCCTCAAAACATGCCAGCGGAAGGCAACTGACCTTTTGGCCCACAAAACCACCGAAAGGGGGAAAAAGAGCCCTGAGCCAAGCGAACCTCCAAGCCGCAAGCGGCCGGGTGTCCAAAAAGATGGGAAAGACACAGATCGATTGACAAGAACACCATGGATTTCAGCCTTTTTGATCACGAGAAAGGAACCTCTGCCCCTTCCACCCAACGGGTCCCAACTCCGCCTCGGAACTTGTGGGTCTCAAGCTGCTGGATGCTTGCGTTGGACAGGATCTTCTGAAGAAACCTCCCGGTCAGAGGGGTCCAATTTTAGGTTGGAAATGGATGGCCCTGGCCCTGGTAGATGAGAAAAACCAGGTAAACCAGGAACCGCCCTCGATTATTCGACCAAAACCCAAAAGGACGCCTATGCTTCCGGTCCCAAGGGCAAATGTGGAGGGAGGCGCCGTTGGTCGGCTGGCTTCCCCTTACAAATGGGACTCGGACCTCCCTTTGCTTGTTCATTTCCCCATTCACATCCCAAACGAGTGCTCAGAGTTGAGGGGGAAGCGCAAGGGGGCTTGTCTCAATTTCGGCTTCTGAGACAGACCCGAAACGGTGAATACTCAGCAGATGTCAACAATCCATCGGTGAAGTTGCAACCCCCCCCCCCATTTTGCCCCCAAAAGCCATTCTTATGGCCAGTTAAACCCCCCCCCAAAAAAAAAAAAAAAAAAAAAACTTCCCACCCCCAACCCCCCCCCCCCGCCCCCAAAACCCGCCCCTTCACTCCCCCCCCCCAACCACACCGCCTTCGCCCCCGGCCCCGCTCGCCCCCATGGGAGCTCTCGACGTCTGAAGCCAAGCGGCGAGTCCGTCTCCTGAAGCCTCTTCAACTCCACCGCCTGAGCTGCCGCGCGCAGAACGTCGGCTGACGTCCGCAGATGGCTCTAGGGAACTCGGCGGCCACGCCACTCGAGTGGGGTCTCCTCCGAAATGTTGTTGCTTTTTTCAGTTTAAGGTTGACTAGATGTGCAACTCTAGGGGGCACGGCGATTTTTGTTCCATTCCGAACCCAGAGATGCGGATCTTTCCAGAAAACCATCAGAACCCCAGGGGAAACAGCTGTTTTTGTTTTTTGAAAAAGAACGATGGTTGAAAAGGATGCTCAAAAATCCATGCCTGGACCGCCAGTTGCGATCGCTTTTTTCCATCCACTGTACCCCAAAAACCAGCAGCAGTGACTGAAAAAAGCGGCAACTTGGCTATCTATGTGGGTCTATTGTCGAAAGCAGCCGGTGGTCTGAAAGACCATACCACACACCACGATGCTTCCCACCACCAAACCTCGCCCCCGGGGGGTTCAACCGAACAGCCACTTACTCACCTGGAGGCTCCCCAACAGGGGAGCGCTTTGTTTCCTTTCGGGTTCCCCTGCACCAACGAAGGGCCTTCGACATCTATGTTGAGGCAGGTCTTTTTCGGAGTTGGTGCCCCGTTTTCTGCCGGTTTTAACGGAAAACCACAGGGAACCCCCACCCTTCGTATGTGTTTCTAGTGTATCCTCGTTCTTTTTGGGGGGGGTCGTCCCAACAGAAGAGACACAACCAGGGTGTGAACCATCGATCGCCCCCGCTAAGCCCGGCACTGCCAGCTGATCCCGACCTTTGGTGAACCTGCCGGTCGAATCCATTTGGAGCAAGCTCGCGATCGCTGCCAGCCGGGAATAAGAAATGACCCAGAAGAAAAAAACCATCCATCCGATTTGGTTTCCTTTAAGAGAATCCCAAAACGGTTCATTCCCTCATTGCCCTGAGCACCAGCAAGCAAGGAAAGGAGATCCTTTTGACTGGATAACAAGAACGACAGACCCATTTTGGAGAAGGGATCTCCTGATAAGGGATCCCTCGGGCCCACCTGAAAGTTCCGTATGTTCCAGGGGTGCTTGTACGTACCCCTTTTACATACCCCTTGGGCAAATGAACCCAAAAGGCCTGCGGATGTTCATACCCCTCTCCCCAGAACAGGTATATACCCCTTACAAAGCGGCTTGGAAACCAGCGAGGCAAAGGAACCGGTATGAACAAGGTGTATGCACTTCAACCCTTAGACATGTGCACTTCTGTTGGGTTTTGCTTCCAAAAACGCCTTGGGTTCAGCTTCACCGTAGGCCTTTTGCGCGAAATCCGCCTAGGCTTGACATCTCCCCAGGTCCCAAAGGAATGGCATGGACCATCGGGATCGAAAGGCCACAAACCCGCCTTTTGAACCCACCGAAAGGAAGGCCGGTGAATGGGAGACCGTTCCAACAAGAAACGAACCGGACATCTCTCCGAAGCTTGACACGAGTTCGTATCTTGCACTTTTCTGTTGCACGGGTTCAGTGCCTTCCCTTTTTGTCGCACGGTTTGTCGGGTTCTCCACACACCTCTGCCTTTTGCCGTCCCTGGTGTTCTCTTTTGGGGGCCCATCGGGTTGACAAACCTCCCAGCGATGCCATGGTCCAAACCGTTCCATTTGGCCCGATTGGGTCGTGGTTCCTGTAGCTGGAATCATTATAACGTGTCCTTGGATGACCATCTCTCAAGGCAGCCCATGGCACAACTACCCATGTCCTTGAACTCCTCATATCTCAAAACCTGGTATTAAAATGGTCGGCACCCAAAACCCCGCTTCAAGAATATTAGGACCAGGCGGCATTGCAACATCCCCTTACCCATTTTGGTCAGGGGATTGCCATCTCCTTACCCTCGAATTCCCCGAGTTTGGAGCAAGTGAGTCACAGCTCTCAACTCTAAGGCGAAAGGGGAAAAATCCAATTTTTCTGCCTTCCGACGAGCCGGCAACTCGGATTTGAAGTGGAAACGGAGCCTCGACATGGACGAACCAGGCTTCGGTCCAGGGGGGGGGGGAAAAAAGCCCCCCCAGAGGGCATGTCTTGCTTTTTTGGCCGAGATGTGTGGGTTTTCCTCTTGGTTTCCTTCTTGAAACCAACCCAACTCCAAACGGTTGGCAGCCTCACAAAAACACGCGCCGAAACTGATCTTAAAGCCTCGCTTGCCAGTGCCTCTTTCCAAAGCCCCGAAGCGCCGAAGCACGAGCCTCTGGTAGGCGTAGCAAAGGCAAATCACGAGTACCTGAAGCGAATCCGCTGGCAATCCACTCGCTGGCAATTTTGGCAAGGATGGGGAGATGATCCTGTGCAAAAAAAAAAAACGGTGCTCTAGCGTTCCAGGTGAATCTGCAGGGGTTGGGGGGTCGGCCCCAAAACACACCATGGTAGGTGTTTCTGACACGTCGCAGCCAGCTTGTTCGAAGTTGGCTTGCGCGAGGCAGGCCCTGCATTCAAAAGCAATGACCTTGGAACACCAAAGGTGCAGCAGTGGCGCACTGAAGCTAGAAGCAATACGACAATCATCACTTTGGATTGTCTTTCCTGGGCGATCGAGTCTCTCGCGCAGCCGGAAGGCAAATCGGTAGAGCCTCCCTACAATGCGTTTTACCACGACATGAACGGTTTTCCTGATTAACTGGTTGACCAATTCTCTTTCCGCAACTGTACCGTTTGCAACCGTCTGTGACAAACTTGTCTTTGGACCAGTTGGTCCGAGCCGTTTCCAACACTGAGACCTGTGTGTCTCTAAAGTTGGACCGATCCCCATGGCTTTGAGCAAGTTGCGCGCAAACCCGCAGCCAGAGAAGGCGCAGGTCCACCCCACATGGGCATTTGCAAAATGATCCAACTCGACCCTTCCAAAAGGATGGACGTGGGCAGCACGGTTTTGGAAGACTAGAACCGGCCATGATGGCAAATGGGTGAAAAGGACCATCCGTCGCCCAGAAAAAAAGTTTGGAGAAGGCAGCCAGAAGGTTCAAGTCTGTTGCCTGCCTCTGAACCGAGTTGGGTCAACGAATCTGGCCTCTTGAGGCCAAATTCAAGAACCCACAACCGAGTTGTTTGCCGGGGAGAAAAAAAAAGGGAAACTCATTGTTTGAGTTTAAAAACCAACGCTTTGTTCTCAAAGAAACCTACAAAACGTACATGAAACCTACAAAGGTAAGGGTGATCATGGCCAAGGCATCGTGATTCCCCAGCGCCCACTTTAGGGCACAGCCCGCCGCAACTGCCCCAAAAGAGGTGGGGGTGCAGCTGAGACTTGGCACCCAGTGCCAGGCTTTCTGGCTTCCTGCCGGGATTGTAGAAATCTACGCCTGCGATACCAACTCTCCTCACTTCGGAGAAAAATGGCCGCCAGCCAAGAGCGGAGCCTGAATGTGGCCTGGAGGGTCCCCTCCGAGGTTGGGCCACATGGGTGAACCAGTATTGCTGTCTTGTTTAAAACAACCAGGGGTGCGTTTCAACCAATCTTGCCCAACCCTGACACCAAAGAAAAACAGATTCTGTCTTGTTTGTCCTCGGGTTTCAGCTAGTCAAGGAACCCCCTAAGACAGGTCTCATTTCCCTACTAAAAGCGGAATCACCCCTTCAACCCGTTGACAACTGTTGGTGTCTCACAGGGAACCCCAAACTGGCTGATTTGCTGTTGGCGTCCCCTTAAACCCTCATAAGCTCAGGTGATATCCCCGACAACATGCGGCGCATTTAATGCTCGCAACCACCCCGCGCCCTCGCAGAACCTCGTGGAAACCTCGTGGAACCCTTGGTGGAACCCTGCTGGAACCCCACCCCGGAGCCTATCTGGGCTGAGACCCCAAAGCTTTCAGCTCTTGGGGAAAAGACACGGGTACAAAAACAAAAACAGCACAAAACTGGAAAAGACGCGAAAACCCGGGGCTTGCTTTTGTCCAGCCCGGTTTTTTTTTTGCGTCTTTTGGCGTCTCGAAGAAACGGCGGCCGCCTCCCTCGCCGCCGCTCCCGGCTCCGGGCCCCCGGCTTTCTTGGGATCCTGATGCCTCTCCAGGCCTGCGCCCGGCGAAGTGGTGGCTTTTTTTGTCTGTTCTTCGACTATATGTTTTGTAGCTGGGACATGTGTTTTTCATTTTGTATATGGATATACTTGGGGAAAATTGAATAATGATAGCTTTGGAGCTGCAAACCTTTTGGAGCTACCCCTTTCTGAAAGATTCGAAAGGGAAATGGAAAGCAAAAAACCACCAGTTTAGGAGGGGGGGGGTGCAACCTTGAGGAAGACGCCCGACGTACCCCAAGAGTGCTCTGAAACCTGTTTTTTCCGCCCAAAAGAAGGACGAACGGAGAGGTCTCTTTTCCCAGAGCCCAACCAGGCACCCAAGTTGAAGCTCATAGAGGGAGTCCATGGGTTGGCCCAGACCACAACGGTCATCTGATCTCCTCCCGAACAAATACCTAGTGGTTGCTGTCCGGTTGCTGATCCCGCGAAAACGCGAGCTTCACTTTTAGCGGGTTACATATGGAAATCATTTAACCACAAACTAAGAACAGCGAAGTACATTGAACCGGACCACCAACCAACCAAAGACCTCTAAAACAACTCTACGAACAACTAAAACTCACTGGCTGAGTGGATGGCCCCCAAAAAAGTCCAAACTCTATATTTGCCACTAAAATGGTCATCCCGAAAAGTTTAGAGTTCATGAACTCGGGAAGTGAGAAAACGCCTAAGTTGAACCGGACGCTTCGCCGGTCTCGCCGACCGGCTCGGAGCAAAGGAAGCCAGGGCGAATCGAAGCCTCCCCGCGTCCCGGTCGAAAAGTCTCCCGCGAAGCAAACGAACGGAGAGAAAGAAAGTGTGGCTTGGGCACACGCTCCAAACATCGAAACTTACAAATACACTTACAAATGGAGGAAAAGAAAGTGTGGTGGGCGCAAAGGCCTTAGGGGGGAAAGGGGAGAAATGATCTCAACAGGGTAAGGGGTGGAAAAGATCTTAGGGAGGAAAGGGGGAAAGGGGGGAAAGATCTAAGGAAGGAAAAGGGAGAAGCTCTCAGGGGGGCGCAAAGGCCTTAGGCGGGAAAGGGTGGGAAGGATCTCAACAGGGAAAGGGGGGAAACAATCTTAGGAAGGAAAAGGGAGAAGATCTGGAAAGGCCTTAAAAGGAAGGGGGGAAAGAATCTCAACAGGGAAAGGGGGCGAAGGATCTTAAGGAGGAATAGGGAGAAGATCTCAGCGGGGGGAAAGGCCTTAGGAAGGAAAGGAGGGAAAGGATCTCAACAGGGAAAAGGGGGGAAAGATCTCAGTGAGGAAAGGGAAAAGATCCCAGGCAGGGAAAAGGCCTTAGGGGGGAAAGGGGGAAAGGATCTCAACAGGGAAAGGGCAGAGGATCTTAGGGAGGAAAAGGGAGAAGATCTGAAAAGGCCTTGAGGGGAAAAGGGGGAAAGGAGCTCAACAGGGAAGGTGGGAGAAGATCTCGGGGGGAAAGGGGGAAAGGATCTCAACCAAGGGAAAAGATCTTGGGGAGGACAAGGGAGAAGATCTGAGGGGGGGAAAGGCCTTAGGGGGGAAAGGGGGGAAAGGATCTCAACAGGGAAAGGGGGCAAAGGATCTTAGGGAGGAAAAGGGAGAAGATCTTGGGGGGGAAAACGCCTTAGGGGGGAAAGGGCGGGAAAGGATCTCAACAAGGAAAGGGGGGAAAAGATCTTAGGAAGGAAAAGGGGGAAGATCGCGGGGGGAAAAAAGGCCTTAGGGGGGAAAGGAGGGAAAGGATCTCAACAGGGAGAGGGGGGAAAACATCGTAGGGAGGAAAAGGGAAAAACTCAGAGGGAGAAAGGGCCTTAGGGGGGAAAGGGGGAATGGATCTCAACAGGGAAAGGTGGCAAAAGATCTTAGGGAGGAAAAGGGAGAAGATCTCAGGGGGGGAAAGGCCTTAGGGGGGAAAGGGGGGAAAGGATCTGAGCAGGGAAAGGGGGGGAAAGATCTTAGGGAGGAAAGGGAGAAGATCTGGGGGCAAAGGCCTGAGGGGGGAAAGGGGAGAAATGATCTCAACAGGGAAAGGGGTGGAAAAGGGAGAAGATCTGGGCCAACAGGGAAAGGGGGGAAAGACCTAAGGAAGGAAAAGGGAGAAGCTCTCAGGGGGGGAAAGGCCTCAGGGGGGAAAGGGTGGGAAGGATCTCAACAGGGAAAGGGGGGAAACAATCTTAGGAAGAAAAGGGGGGGAAAGATCTTAGGGAGGAAAGGGAGAAGATCTGGGAGAAAAGGACTTAGGGGGGAAAGCCCAACAGGGAAAGGGGGAAAAGATCTTAGGAAGGAAAAGGGAGAAGCTCTCAGGGGGGGGAAAGGCCTTGGGAGGGAAAGGGGGGAAAGGATCTCAACAGGGAAAGGGTGGGAAAGATCTTAAGGAGGAAAGGGGGGGGAAGATCTTAGGGAGGAAAGGGAGACGATCTGGGAGAAAAGGACTTAGGGGGGAAAGCCCAACAGGGAAAGGGGGGAAAAGATCTTAGGAAGGAAAAGGGAGAAGCTCTCAGGGGGGGGAAAGGCCTTAGGGGGGAAAGGGGGAAAAGGATCTCAGCAGGGAAAGGGGGGGGGAAAGATCTTAGGGAGGAAAGGGAGAAGATCTGGGGACAAAGGCCTTAGGGGGGAAAGGGGAGAAATGATCTCAACAGGGAAAGGGGTGGAAAAGATCTTAGGGAGGAAAGGGAGAAGATCTGGGGGAAAAAAGGCCAACAGGGAAAGGGGGGGAAAGATCTAAGAAAGGAAAAGGGAGAAGCTCTCAGGGGGGGGAAAGGCCTTAGGCGGGAAAGGGTGGGAAGCATCTCAACAGGGAAAGGGGGGAAACAATCTTAGGAAGGGAAAGGGAGAAGATCTGGAAAGGCCTTAAAGGGAAGAAGGGAAAGGATCTCAACGGGGAAAGGGGGCAAAGGATCTTAAGGAGGAATAGGGAGAAGATCTCAGCGGGGGGAAAGGCCTTAGGAAGGAAAGGAGGGAAAGGATCTCAACAGGGAAAGGGGGGGAAAGCTCTCAGTGAGGAAAGGGAAAAGATCCCAGGCAGGCAAAAGGGCAAAGGGGGAAAGGATCTCAACAGGGAAAGGGGGCAAAGGATCTTCGGGAGGAAAAGGAAGAAGATCTGAAAAGGCCTTGGGGGGAAAAGAGGGAAAGGAGCTCAACAGGGAAAGGTGGGAGAAGATCCTAGGGAGGAAAAGGGAGAAGATCTTGGGGGGAAAGGGGGAAAGGATCTCAACCAAGGGAAAAGATCTTGGGGAGGACAAGGGAGAAGATCTCAGGGGGGGAAAACGCCTTAGGGGGGAAAGGGTGGGAAAGGATCTCAACAAGGAAAGGGGGGAAAAGATCTTAGGAAGGAAAAGGGGGAAGATCGCGGGGGGAAAAAAGGCCTTAGGGGGGAAAGGAGGGAAAGGATCTCAACAGGGAGAGGGGGGAAAACATCGTAGGGAGGAAAAAGGAAAAACTCAGAGGGAGAAAGGGCCTTAGGGGGGAAAGGGGTAATGGATCTCAACAGGGAATGGTGGCAAAAGATCTTAGGGAGGAAAAGGGAGAAGATCTCAGGGGGGGAAAGGCCTTAGGGGGGAAAGGGGGGAAAGGATCTGAGCAGGGAAAGGGGGGGAAAGATCTTAGGGAGGAAAGGGAGAAAGAAGATCTGGGGGCAAAGGCCTTAGGGGGGAAAGGGGAGAAATGATCTCAACAGGGTAAGGGGTGGAAAAGATCTTAGGGAGGAAAGGGAGAAAATCTGGGGGAAAAAAGGCCAACAGGGAAAGGGGGGGAAAGATCTAAGGAAGGAAAAGGGAGAAGCTCTCAGGGGGGGGGGGAAAGGCCTGAGGGGGGAAAGGGTGGGAAGGATCTCAACAGGGAAAGGGGGGAAACAATCTTAGGAAGGAAAAGGGAGAAGATCTGGAAAGGCCTTAAAGGGAAGGGGGGAAAGGATCTCAACAGGGAAAGGGGGCAAAGGATCTTAAGGAGGAATAGGGAGAAGATCTCAGCGGGGGGAAAGGCCGTAGGGGGGAAAGGGGGGAAAGGATCTCAACAGGGAAAGGGGGGGAAAGATCTCAGGGAGGAAAGGGAAAAGATCCCAGGGAGGAAAAGGCCGTAGGGGGGAAAGTGGGGGAAAGGGAGGAAAAGGGAGAAGATCTCAGGGGGGAAAAGGCCTTAGGGGGGAAAGGGGGGAAAGGATCTCAACAGGGAGAGGGGGGAAAACATCTTAGGGAGGAAAAGGGAAAAAATCAGAGGGAGAAAAGGCCTTAGGGCGGAAAGGGGGAATGGATCTCAACAAAGAAAGGGGGGCAAAAATCTCAGAGGGGAAGGGGGCAAGGGGACAATTCCAAAAGGACGCAAATAAGAAAGCAGGCCTGTAATGGCGGCGGCCTGAGCCGGAGGCGTTAAAATATATATATATATATATATATATATATGTGTGTATATATATATATATGACCACACATGTTGTTTTGTTCCATTTCAGGCGAACTCGCCGCAGAAAGACCAGCTTCATAGGAGCTTTCATTGAAAACACTCTAGTCAACCCTGATATACGCGGTTGTTTTCAATGAAACCCGCCAGCTTCGCAAGTCCAAAAAATTTCAGCAGACTGGCTGCCCTCTCAGCTAGCCTCACGGAGACCCTCAAGGTCTCAGATTCCAGGCGGGAGGACGGTCGCATACGACCCTACCCGCCGGTCACATTTGACCCTACCCTACTTTGGCTTCAAAAACCATGCCAAAATGCCAAAATGGCAGCGTAAAGCTCCAATTCCACGACATGGCCACACGAAACGCGCCGGTCACATTTGACCCTACCCTACTTTGGGCTCAAAAATCAGTGCCAAATGGCAGTACTATGTTCCAATTCCACGGCAGGGCCACGCGAAACGCACCGGTCACATTTGACCCTACCCTACTTTGGGCTCAAGCAACATGGCCAACTGGCAAAGAAATGGCAGCATCAAGCTCCAATTCCACGACATGGCCACGCGAAACGCACCGGTCACATTTGACCCTACCCTACTTTGGGCTTAAAACCAGTGCCAAGTGGCAATACTATGTTCCAATTCCACGGCAGGGCCACGCGAAACGCACCGGCCACAAGCGACCCTACCCTACTTTGCGTTCAAGCAACATTGCCAGCTGGCAACGAGATGGCAGCATCAAGCTCCAATTCCACGGCAGGGCCACGCGAAACGCACCGGTCGCATTTGACCGTACCCTACCTGACGGTTTCTTGCCAAATGCGTCACTTTAGGTCTTGAGGCTTTTACATTCGCTTTCAGGTATAGTCATCACATCACTTTAGGGCTTTCTGGTTTGCTGTCACTTCTTTAGTTAGTCACCACATCACTTTAGGGCTTTCTGGCTTGCTGTCACTTCTTGAGGTAGTCACCACATCACTTTAGGGTTTCTGGTGCGCTGTCACTCCTTTAGGCAGTTACCACATCACTTTAGGGTTTCTGCTGCGCTGTCGCTTCTTCAGGTAGTTACCACATCACTTTTAGGGTTTCTGCTGCGCTGTCACTTCAGGTATAGTCACCACATCACTCTAGGGTTTAGGGTTTAGCTGTCACTTCTTCAGGTAGTTACCACATCACTTTTAGGGTTTCTGCTGTGCTGTCACTTCAGGTATAGTCACCACATCACTCTAGGGTTTAGGGTTTAGCTGTCACTTCTTCAGGTAGTTACCACATCACTTTTAGGGTGTCTGCAGCGTTCTCACTTCAGTTATAGTCACCACATCACTTTAGGGTTTTCTGGTTTGCTGTCACTTCTTTAGGTAGTCACCACATCACTTTAGGGTTGCTTCTGCGCTGTCACTTCTTGAAGTAGCACATCACTTTAGGGTTTCTGGCGCGCTGCCACTCCTTTAGGCAGTTACCACATCACTTTAGGGTTTCTGCTGCGCTGTCGCTTCTTCAGGTAGTTACCACATCACTTTTAGGGTTTCTGCTGCGCTGTCACTTCAGGTATAGTCACCACATCACTCTAGGGTTTAGGGTTTAGCTGTCACTTCTTCAGGTAGTTACCACATCACTTTTAGGGTTTCTGCTGCGTTGTCACTTCAGTTATAGTCACCACATCACTTCTAGGGTTTAGGGTTTAGCTGTCACTTCTTCAGGTAGTTACCACATCACTTTTAGGGTTTCTGCTGCGTTGTCACTTCAGTTATAGTCACCACATCACTTTAGGGTTTTCTGGTTTGCTGTCACTTCTTTAGGTAGTCACCACATCACTTTAGGGTTGCTGCTGCGCTGTCACTTCTTGAAGTAGTCACCACATCACTTTAGGGTTTCTGGCGCGCTGCCACTCCTTTAGGCAGTTACCACATCACTTTAGGGTTTCTGCTGCGCTGTCGCTTCTTCAGGTAGTTACCACATCACTTTTAGGGTTTCTGCTGCGCTGTCACTTCAGGTATAGTCACCACATCACTCTAGGGTTTAGGGTTTAGCTGTCACTTCTTCAGGTAGTTACCACATCACTTTTAGGGTTTCTGCTGCGTTGTCACTTCAGTTATAGTCACCACATCACTTTAGGGTTTTCTGGTTTGCTGTCACTTCTTTAGGTAGTCACCACATCACTTTAGGGTTGCTGCTGCGCTGTCACTTCTTGAAGTAGTCACCACATCACTTTAGGGTTTCTGGTGCGCTGCCACTCCTTTAGGCAGTTACCACATCACTTTAGGGTTTCTGCTGCGCTGTCGCTTCTTCAGGTATTACCACATCACTTTTAGGGTTTCTGCTGCGCTGTCACTTCAGGTAAAGTCACCACATCACTCTAGGGTTTAGGGTTTAGCTGTCACTTCTTCAGGTAGATACCACATCACTTTTAGGGTTTCTGCTGCGTTGTCACTTCAGTTATAGTCACCACATCACTTTAGGGTTTTCTGGTTTGCTGTCACTTCTTTAGGTAGTTACCACATCACTTTTCGGGTTTCTGCTGCGTTGTCACTTCAAAAGGCTCCGGTCACATTTGACCCAACCTCACTCTCAAAAGGGGGCCCTTGAGTTGCTCGTTTTTTACAACGGAACAGGGGCCCCGATCACATACGACCCTACCTCCGGTCACCTTTGTCCCTACTGGATCGTTTGATACATCGAATGCTGCGTTCCAATTCCACGGCAGGGCCACGCGAAACGCACCGGTCACATTTGACCCTACCTCACTGTCAAAAAGGGACTCTTCAGTTGCATGTGTTACAACGGAACAGGGGTCCCGGTCACATACGACCCTACCTCCGGTCACATTTGACCCTACCTCATCGTGAGGTAGGGTCAAATGCGACCACGTTGAGGTAGGGTCAAATGCGACCGTCCTGCCATTCCAGGCAATCTCAAAAAGGCGACCCTGTGGGAATCGTTTACTCTCTTCCTGAGTGGACTGGCCAGCAACAGTCCAAACTTTCTCTCAAGCGGGAATTGAACGCCCTAGACGTTCTTGTTCGCCAAGAGGAAACCCACCAGCTGTCCAAAAGTTGCAGACATTCCCACCAAGGTTCCATGTTTGGATTACAGGCAGACCAAAAACAAACAAAAAGTCAGGTCGAAAATCCTCCCTGGGTGAACCGCCCGAGTCTTATCTCTTTCTTGGTGACGAGGCCTCGAGTGGACCCGTCCCAAAGTCCAACTCGCTCCGAGCGAGTCCCGAGTCGCGCCTCCATCCTGCGCCGCAGCGCAAGCCAAAAGCAGCCAGGCCAAGGCGCACCGCCTGATCCAGGCCAGAGGCTCCCGAGCGATTTCCCCTAACATCACCACCAAGGGAGACTCAATGATACTCACCTTGGGACACACAGGTGACGTTTAAAACAGCCGAAAAGGGAAATAACTCGGGACCCCTGTCCGAAGCAAGTTGAAAGCGATGGATCGCGCGCTGTGAAGGGGGGGCCTCCTGGGCGATCGACCGTTTCAGATCCCCGGCGAAAGGTTTTGCACTTTCAGGGGGCGGAAAACTATGATAGGAGCGAGCCATCTGGCACGCCCGGAGAGTTGCCCTTTGAAGCCTGTAGATGCAAAATAAAAATAAAATAAAAAAGCACAATAGCAATGAAAATAATATTCATCATATGCACTCTTGTCCTTTGAGGGGAGGGGCTGTTAACTTGTTCAACAGGGCCGAGAAACAAAGAACACGGCATTCGTCCCGTTTTGAGACGGAACTCCTTTCAAACCCCGCCTGCCCATGGCCATAGCTGGCCCCATGGACGAAAAAGCCATGGCCAACTTGAGCCGAAGCCTCGAATCCGAATTCGAGAATTTCACCACGTCGAAGGTATATCGGCCTTTTTTAGAGCGAGCGGTTCCACCGGATCAGGGTCCTTTACTTGGGGATTCAATTCTTACTTCAGCATTTGGAATTATACTAAAATTTGCAGATACATGGAAACAATCCACCAGGGAAGCTCCGAAGAGTTGTTGATCATGCGCTTGTAACATGTCCGGCTGGTTTTCTAGGACCATGGATTTTGGTGGTCCTCTGCGTCCCCCATGTTTAGCCAACCAAACGAGGGTTCCCCTGAAAAAAACACCAATGTAGCGAAACAAACCACCTTGACAAGGGAATCCTCCAAATCAGCTTGTCAAGGTGATTGGTGTGTTAATCTTGTCTTTTGTTGTGTCTTAGGGTTGTACATCCCAGTCTCCCCAATATGAACATGAACAAAATATGGCTTGATGGAAACAAACGGGTGGACACTAAGGTTCCCTTCTGCAAACCGTATGGAAGGCATCCCAAACTTTGGATATGGCAGTGGCTCTGGTGGTGTAATTTTGACCCATACCCATACAACGCCTCTACGTTTTTGGTTTTTGTTCTTTCCAGCAAAAGGGACCTTCACCAAAGTGGGAGTGAATTTTAATAAGGGGCCCTTTGGTGGACATCATTTAGGTGGGGATTCACCAATCACTTTTGAGATGGTTCCCTATTAAAATTCCTTCAATGCGCCAACATGTTGACACCAAACACCACTGCCCGCATGAGATTTGGGCGTGGCTCAAAATGAAACAGGAGGGGCAAACCGCAGGTTTTGGTCCAGTTCTCCACTTAACAGGGTTCCATTTTGGTACCGGTTTTTTGAGCCACAGCCATGTGTTGCTCCAACTTTCCCGCTCAAAGGGGTACACAAACAGTCCAGCATCTTCTTGCCGCATGCTGCTATGCGTACCAGCGGCAGGGCAACCAAAGCACTTTGGATGCAAAATCCGAGGTAACTGCCGCCCAAGATTGCTGGAATCTCTCACTCGAATAACGAGTATCGCGCTGAAAGCGAAAATGGCCCTGTCAGAAGTCTGGAATACTTGCCATCTCAATGCATACGCGTGGCGTCAAGCTCATAGAACATCGCAAAAAAGAAACTGAGCAACAGATCACCCGTTTTGGTCCGACCACTCCCGTCCGATTCTCCCCCTTTTCCCCTGGCACCTCGGCTCCAAATGGCCCCCCCCCCCGCCCTCCCCCCCGAACAAGTCACCACCCAAGCACGGCAGGAGCTGCCCCGGGCGTGCAGAAAGGCCACGGCCTCCAACCTCGAAGCACCGCGCCCAGAGGGGAGGAGTCTCCTCCTGTTCCAACTTTTCCTTTGGCCATGGGTCAAAGCCCAAATCGGTTAGCCCCCGGTGGACATCCCAATCCAACCACCAAAATCTAAAATAGGTTCTGAAATGGGTGGTGCACCTACCCCAATACCATTGGTTTTGAGCCACAGCCATTTGGATACCCTTCCCCCCACTGACATGACGCATCTGTGGGAGGCTCCCCAGATCAACTTCCTCTTCAATGGACCCTCTCTCAGGTGCGCTACTGGGACGGAGTGTTGTCGTGTCAGCCGGTGACTTGAAGTCGACTCTCCTGAGTGACCCGAAGTCAATCTATGGTCCTTTCGGGCAGAAGTTTCTCTCGTCAGGCCCTTGAGAGCCCTTGAGAACAAGCAAACCTGTGGAAGGCGGACCCACCCATCAAGCAAAGCCAACTAGGAAATGGAGTACGGTCGCCTAAGACATGAATGCCCTTTCAGTGCCGAAGGCCCCTTGAAATGGCCCAAACCACCTAAGCAACGGAGCATGGCGCCGGAAAGGAAGCACTGCTCTCACGGATCTTTTTCTTGGGCCTGCGGGAATAGACCTACGCCACGAACACCCAACGACGATGACATGCGCACCAAGCAACAACCATCAAGGTGTTGTTTCTTTCACAAATTGAGGACTTGGGCTCCGGCTCCTGTTCGGCGACTTGACATTTGTCCTAAAAACGTGGTTGTAAGCCAACTAATCACAGTCACCTCTCCTTTCAGGCCTCTGTTAAAGTAGCTTGCATCATTGTTTCCTGAGGGGTCAAAAATATTATCGAGGCAACTCATTTTGAGACAGTCAAAGCGATGAAACTGTGTGAGTCCCCTGGTTTGTAGGTGTAAACTTCAGTGCGTTTTCCCTTTGCCGTCCCTCCCAAATGAACCATACACCATGGGTCGGTTTCGGTTTCAGCCAACGAAACTCGCATCCGCTAAGTGTGCGGCAGCTGACGGAGGAGGTCCTTGATCTCCTTGCTGCATCCCCACGGGTTGAAATGAGTCTGGTCTCATCTTGTCAAAAAAGGCGGCTCGTCTTCTTGAAGGTTGCACCTCCAAAATGCGTACAGTCAACAAAACACCCCCCAAATATTAATCTAAGGGGCCTGTCCTTTAGCACCAACATACCCTCAGTGAAAGACAAATGAAACTCATGACATCCCCATCGGTGACACCGTTCAAGGCAACGCATTCCCTGAACCCGATCTTCCACATGGCCTCGCTGAGTATCGATCATACTTTGGGTGTTTGCCGAAAAATGTGTCTGGGTGCCTCACTTACACCTTCCCGGCACAAAACACGTTTCCCTACTCCAAGAAAATGGGTTAGTCGTTTTAAGGACCTTTTTGCCTGGCTTTGAAGGGATACCCTTTCTGCGGGGGGGCCCTAAAAAAAACGACACACCCAAATGCCACACTTCCTTTGGAAGTCACAGAAGTTGCCTTGTCCGTTCCCCCGAACCTTTGACGACCTTCCGTCCAAAATCGCTGCCGAGACTCCGATTGCAGCTTCACCAGTGGGGAACGCGAGAACCAGGCCTCGCGTTATCGCAAGCTCGCACGTACGGCGCAGCACGCGAAAGATCTGCGGCCCATCGTTTCACAAGTCACGATCACTAGGCTCTGTTATTCGATTCGAGTCACAACATGTCTGATGCCCCTGTGGATTTCATCAATTGCTGCACTCTCAAAGGGAGAATCCGCATGCGTCCAAAACGGCCACCTAATACGAATCACCATCAATCGCCTGAGATCAAATCCGCCGACCCTCTGCCTCCCGTCCCAGCCTCCTGCAGAGGGGACCGGCGTGGGATGCAACTGGAAGTGATTGGAATCAATGATGGTCCCTGGGGGGCACGCCCGAAAGTACAAAAAGTAGATTCCCAGGACCGGTCCCGGAGTCCTGGGACCGGTCCTGGGACTGGTCCTGGGACCGCTTTGGAGTACTTGCAGTCAGCCAAAACCGGTCCCAGGACCAGTCCCAGGACCGGTCCTGGGACCGGTCCTGGGACCAGTCCTGGGACCAGTCCTGGGACCGGTCCTGGGACAGGACCGGTCGGGTTTGGTCCCAGCACCACTCCTGGGACCGGTCCCAGGACCGGTCCTGGGACAGGTCCCGGCCAGGACCGCTTTCAGGACTGGTCCGGTCCCAGCCGCTGGCTTCAAACCGCTGCAGAAACCCGGTGCCACTGTTTTTTCAGTGTCGCTGTTTCCGGACTGGCGCCCGTGTTTCAGGACCGGACAGGGTCCCAAGTCCCAGTCCCTCCCTGCGACCGGTTGAGGGGCACCGACGGCCTTGTTTCTAGGACCAGCTCAACGTGACTTGGGCGCGAGTTGGCCCGTGCGGTCATTGACGGACGAGCTGCCGCCTGTCTGACTTTTCCGCTAATCCTTGTGGTAGTAGAGGATCCCTGGATCTACTGCCGGCGACCGGTCCAGGGCCACTAGGGCCACTGTCGCCGGGGCAGTTTCGGGAGGGCCAGTTTCAGGGCGACCCGGGACAGGCGACTGCTCCCGGGCCAACTCGAAGTGACTTGGGCGCAAGCCGGCCCAAGCGGCAATTAACGGACTAGCTGCCATATTTCTGACTTTTCCGTTAATCCTTGTTTGTGGTCATAGAAAATCTTATAAGTGGTCCCTGGGTTTGCGGACGTGTTTCAGGACCGGTCCTTGTGACTCTTCCCTTAATGCGCCGAGGGTCGGCGGCAGCAGGCGGGAGCCTGGTTAATAAGTCTCCGCAATGTGGTGGTGAAGAATCACAGGGTGGGGCCGCGCGAATGTGTGGCTGGCATGCGTTGAATGCAAGCTGTCCTTGTCTGGTGTCCCCATCCGAATGGGTGTACCAGGCCAAATCAGGTCTAGCCCCGTCCTTCAGGGTATTGCGCCATTGGGGTATTGGCCGTGGCCTCCAACCAAATCTCAGTGTCTGAGACAATCCCATCCTCATTGCGACTTCTCCCTTGAGTGTCTCATTGCAAGTTCCATGGGAATCCTCACCAAATAAACAGAATTGTCCGTCATGGGAATCCTAGGCTCACGGAAAACACACACAGTGTCTCTCCCCCCCAAAAAAAAAATGAGGACCCGGGCGCAGAAGTCGCAGGCCACATACTCCGTGGCGAGGTACAACTTCTCACCCAAGGCCTCGCGTGCGAGAGCTCCAGGTGTCAAAGTGGGAGAGCGGACCCCAGAGCGGCGGGTTGAATTTTTGGCTTCCCTTTAAAACCCACAGATACGGGGGAACCAACTCCAAACAAACACAAACACACATGTGGTTTTCCTTTTCCTATTCCCTTTGAACCAATTCCCAAGAATGGGTGCCTTCATAAAGAAGGACACACCTCAGGGTGAAAGTAGATGCCACACATTCCTAGGTAAGCAAGGGGATGACTAGATTAATATGTGGGCATGGCCAACACCAGCCTGTTTTCTGCCTGTTTTGTGCCTGCTCTGGTCTTTTGTGTGGCCAAAAACGGGCACAAGAGGAGGCCAAAAACCAGTCGCTCATGTCCGATCTACCTGTGACTTGGCTTGGGTGGCTTGGAGGTTCCAGTGCTGCAGAGCCTCCAAGTCACGAGGCTGCGGGAGGGCGACGGCAAAAAGAAATCCGCCAATGGGACCCCTGTCAAATGCCAGTGGCTGGGAGAGTATACATGTGTGCATGTGTACATAGTAT